CATCGACCAAGCACAGAGAAAGAAAGGTCACTTCTCTCTATATGTAGTAGCTAGCATCGACCAAGCACGGAGAAAGAGAGGTCACTTCTCTCTATATTTGTAGCTAGCATCGACTAAGCATGGAGAAAGAGAGGTCACTTATCTCTATATGTAGTAGCTAGCTAACACAATATGAAGCCCCTATAAACCCTCCAAAACCCCTAAACCCCTCCTTCCAGAAAACAAAAAAAACAGCACCCAGTAGCAGCTGACGCGTGGCTGCCTTTTAGTCCCTGTCGGTGTTACCAACCAGGGCTAAAGGTCCTCCTGCCTGGGCACCCCACAGCGGCCACGTGGAGCACCTTTAGTCCTAGTTCGTAAGCCAGTCAGGACTAAAAGTGGTGGGGATTAGTCCCGACTGTTTTGTCCCGGTTGAGGAACTGGGACAGGTGCCCTGTTTTCTATTAGTGAGGGCGCCTTCTCCTAAAGCGTCAAGGTCTACTAAACCAATTGCTACTGTTCTTCAGATATTTGTGGCGAGATGTTTGGGCATACATTTGGGCAGAAGGTCTATTTCATTACTTCTATAGATGATTTCTTTAGATATGGCTATGTTTACTTAATTAAGTATAAGTCAGAAGGTTTTGACATGTTCAAGGTATTTAAAGGTGAGGTAGAAAATCAGTTGAACAAAAAGATCAAGGTGCTTAGAACTGATCGTGGTGGTGAATACACATCTGGAATATTAGATGATTTTTGCAAGGAAAATGGAATTGTTCATCATTATACCTTTCCTTATACTCCTCAGCAAAACGGTGTAGCTGAAAGGAGGAATAGAACTTTAATGGACATGGTTAGGTCTATGATGGCATATTCTGATCTTTATCTTTTTGGGGTGAGGCTCTTCACACTATTGTTTATTTGCTTAATCATTCGCCTTCTAAATCTATTAGTTCTACTCCTTATGAATTATGGAAAGGGAGGAAACCTACATTGTTGAACTTAGCAGTGTGGGGATGCAATGCACAGATTAGAGTACCTAGTCAACTAAGAACAAAATTGGAACCTAAGAGTTTTCCAGGAATATTTATTGGATATGCTTCTGGTTCAAATGGCTATAGATTTTATGATCCAGAGAAGAAGAAGTTAATCAAAAGTAGAGACGCCGTTTTTCTAGATCAAGATACACCTCACCGTGCCAAACGTGCGAGAGTGGAATTATCGACAACCCTATTAGATACTAATGTTGAAACTGATTCTAACAATAAGGAAAACCAAATTGATGGCAACATAAATGTTGAGACTCCTATAACTAGGTTACCTAGGAGAAGTGGGAGGAATGTAGCAGCCCCGTCATACCTTGATGATTATTACGTATTTATGGGGGAAGTATACTCTAGAACTTAAAGTTTAGAGGAAGCACCAAAATCTTCTAAACATGCCATGTCTTGTTCAGAATCAAAGTTATGGATGGAAGCCATGCGTGAGGAACTAAACTCCATGGAAAAGAATAAAGTTTTGGAATTGGTTGATCTACCTAATGACCAAAAGGCAATTGGATCATGGATTTTTAAAAGAAAATTGAGTGCTTCTGGTAATGTTGAAAAATATAAAGCTAGGTTGGTTTCTAAAGGGTACACACAAAGGGAAGGTGTTGACTTTGTCGAAACTTTTTCCCCTGTAGCAAAATTTACTTCTATTCGTATTATTGTTGCATTGACTGCTTATTTTGATCTGGAACTTCATCAAATGGATGTTAAAATTGCCTTCTTGAATGGTCATATGGAGGAAGAGATTTATATGTCTCAACCTGATGGTTTTGTTGAAAAGGAAAATCAGGGAAAAGTGTGTAAGCTAAATAGATCTATTTATGGTCTTAGGCAAGCTTCACGGCAATGGAATATCTTGTTTGATGATGCTATCACATCATATGGGTTTTCTATGATGGAGGGAGATCATTGCATTTATTTTAAAATAGTGGGAGGAAATTTTACACTCTTGTCACTGTATGTTGATGATATACTTATTGCTTCTAGTATTAAGGAAATGTTGATAGAAGTTAAAACTTGGTTACTTCTACATTTGAAATGAAAGATATGAGAAATGCTTCATGTGTTCCAGGAGTGGAAATACTTAGAGATTGGAATAAAGGAACTTTGCGTTTATCTCAAAGGAGTTGTCTAAAATCTGTTCTTAACAGTTTCTCTATGGAAAACTGCAAGCCTGCTTTAGTGCCCATGGCTGTAGGAATTAAACTCAGTGAGGGGATGTGTCCTAGCACTCTTGAGGAAAATAAGAGAATGGAGAAGACTCCATGTGCTTCTGCATTGGGATCTTTGATGTATGCCATGTTATTCACATGCCTTGATTTGTGCTATACTGTTCGAGTGTTGAGTAGATATCAAATGAATCCAGGAATTGGGCATTGGAATCAAATTAAACATGATCTTCATTATGTTCAAGAAACACTGGATTATTCACTCTGTTTTCACCAAAAGGATCTACACCTGCAGGGCTATACTGATGCTGATTGGCAGGGTGATCTGGACGACTGGAAGTCTACGTTTGGGTATCTATTTACATTAGCTGGTGGCGCTATATCTTGGAGTAGTAAGAAGCAAGATTCGGTGGTGTTATCTTCCATGGAGGCAGAGTATATTGCTACGCCCGAAGTTGTGAAGGAGGCGGTGTGATTGAAGGAATTTCTTTCGACTTTGAAGTTTGTTGAAAGTGCTAGCAAACCGGTGGTGGTGTATTGTGATAATCAGGTTGCAATAAAGGTTTCCAGATATCCCAAGTTCCACAACAAGATCAAACATATTGAGGGAAGGTATCACTATATACGTGATGTAATTAATAGACTTACGTCTGTCGCTTTAGAGTTTCTACCTAGTACTGATATGGTTCCCGATCCCTTGACTAAGTCACTTAGTCAGGTGGTGTTTGGTAAGCATGTTCAGGCTGTGGGTTTACAAATTGAATGGTCGTTTTGGACAAGTGGGAGATGTTGGGATAATGTGTCCTGCAACTATATTCAAACACTTACTATCATTAATATTAGTAATACCTCATATGGAATTATACATGTGTTTTGTGCATGGAATTACTCTTGTTGGAATGTACTCCCTCCGTCCCAAAATTCTTGTCTCTAGATTTATCTAGATACGGATATATCTAACACTAAAACGTGAATAGATACATCGGTATGTTGACAAATCTAAGACAAGAATTTTGAGACGGAGGGAGTACTTAAGTGTTGCATGCTTAAGGAAACCGGTCAATTATCGGTGGAATACAATATGCTTTATATATTGGAAAGACTATCCAGGTACGCTGATAATTGAAGATGCTAGATCATGTAATTAGATTAGACCCTAATGTTGATCTACATAATTAGAAGAATTTATACTTTATTACGTTTCTCACAAACGCGTGCTTCAAGAACTCGACGGATAGGATCCGCTAACAACAAATTATATCGTGGTTGGTAGTTTGATCTGAACTCTATCCAGAAACTAGTTTAAAGACTAGGAATCTTATAACTGTATAAGAGCCGGACTCTTTGGAAACGCAGTATAAGAAGGTCTCTATCCCCTAGACTCGGATATGCAATTGTGAACGGTACCACATAGCGCAGGCAAGGAGGGTTACGCCCCGTCAAAGATGCAGGAGTACCGATGTTTCCATAAGAGCCAGACGACGAGGGTGACCAATGAAGCGACGCCCTTGCGTAGGCACTCCGGGTCCGGGGAGACCTGCTGGGTGGTGTGCCACCAGCTGGAGATCACCGTATCGACCGTAGGTGCCATGACAGGCAGTACCGCAGTAGGCACCAGCTCAAGGTTTCATGCGAGATAGTGCGGGAGAAAACGCAGCCCACGAGTAAATGATGGATCATTTCGAATTCCAAGTCTAAGTCTACTGGGATTTAGCAAAAAAATGATGGTCCCTCTTAACCAGCGAATATCAGATCGAAAGCATGACAATTGTGCACGATTTGCATGACAATTTATGTTGGCCAAGGATAGCAAATTTAGTTGGCAAGCATAACAAACTCGTCTCAGATTATTTTTCTGCGAGGATTTATCATGCTTGCAAAGTAAAATTGCGAGACGATATGAATTACCAAAAATCATTCGATTTGCCATCCCCCAGCGAGCATTATAATTCAGGTAATGTGAGTTATTCATATTTTACTGTTTTGATTGCTCATTCAAAATCCAAGGGAAAACCTCAACTTCCTAAATTGTGGCCGACCGAGACCAGGCAAGGCCGAAGAAAGAATATTAGGAGTAGAGCAAAGGGAGGAAGCAAACGAAAGTGATGTTCTAATCCTAAGCTCATACGAGCTCGGTTGAACAGTAAAATCAAGAAAAAAAATCATTTTTTGTCAAATGAAACATTGATAAATGATTTAATAGCTTACAAAATTTCAACACCAGATGACATCGGTGAAAAATCTGGCAAAAAACAAAATCAATGACATTCATGAAACGTTGATTTTTTTTTATTTATTTATTTTACTGTTCACCTGAGCTTACGAGCTCGGGATCAGAACACCGGAAGCAAACACGTTTAAGACTAGACTAGAAGACTTGGATTCTTGCATCCGGTGACCGGTGAAGCATGACGGTGTTGATTGATTTTCTACTCGCGTCTGTTGACCGGTGGTACCCCGCGCCGTCTCCCTCCCGGAAAGATCTTCATTCCTTCCGCGCCGAAAACGACGGCGAGCCACCCCGAGACCGCGTCAGCCCGCTGCCCCCCACCCGCACGTCACTCCGCCCAAGCGTCCCGGCCGGCGCCTTGACTCCACGCCCGCCGTCGCCATCGCCCCCGCAGCTGTTGCTCGCTCGCTCCCACTCCCACACAAGAACGACACGACGACCGCCCTGCCCAGACACCGACGCCACGGTCTCTCTCTCCCTCCTCTCTGACCCCTTCTCCTCTCCGCACCGGCTTATAATGCGCGCTCGGTGGAGCCGAGGAGCTTAACTGGCTTCTGGCGGAGTGGAGCGGGGATGATGATGGACCTGGGCGCCGCGCGCGCGACGCCGCCGTCGGCGCAGGAGGCGGCCGAGGCCGCCGTGCGCGCGGTCGGCTGCGGCTACGACCTCGCCGACGACCTGCGCCTCTTCCGCGCCAAGGACCGGCTGCTCGACCTCGGCGGCGGGGGCGCGGGCGGCGAGCGGGACCTGTGCCTGCCGGGCGGGGCCGTGGTGGCCGGCGCGCCCGCGGGGGTCGTCGCCGACAAGGGCGAGCGCGCGCGGTTCCGCTCCGACGTGCTGTCCTTCGCGCAGATGGCGGAGCACGTGAACCAGTCGCTGTCGCTCACGGGCAAGATCCCCTCGGGCCCCTTCAACGCCATGTTCGACTACCGCGGCTGCTGGCACCGGGACGCCGCCGCCACGCGCAGCCTCTGCTTCGACGCCCGCCTCGTCGAGCTCTACGCCGTCGAGGCCCCCCGCGGCGCGCGCCTCGCCCTCCGCGGCCACGTCGCCCGCGACGTCCCGACCTCCTGGGACCCCCCGGCGCTCGCCGCCTTCATCGACACGCACGGCACCCACGTCGTCGTCGGGGTCCGGATGGGGGGCAAGGACGTCGTCTGCGTCAAGCAGCTCAGGGGCTCCGCCCTCGAGCCGCGCGACGTGCAGGCCCGCCTCAAGAAGCTCGCCGACGCCACCTTCTCCCAGTCCCAGTCGCAGGACCGACGGCAGAGCTCCGCCGGCGCCAAGGGCCGCGGGTCGTCGTCGCGGAGACCTCCCGGCCCCGGCTCCGCTGCCTGGCGCGCCTTCAGGTCGCCGGTCATCCACAACAAGGACGATGTCGTCGGCATCCACGTCAGGCGAGGCGGCGTCGACGACGGGCAGGGCCACGACGAGTGGCTCGCCACCGTCGCCGCCTCGCCGGACGTCATCTCCATGGCCTTCGTGCCCATCACCTCCCTGCTCACCGGCGTCCCCGGCCGCGGCTTCCTCAACCACGCCGTCAATCTCTACCTCAGATGTACGATAATATCTTCTCAACTCAACCCGTGTCTGTGTGTCTGACTCTGACCATCTAACCATTAATTTGTTTGGCTGTGGGATCATCAGACAAGCCGCCCATAGAGGAGCTGGAGCAGTTCCTGGAGTTCCAGGTGCCGCGGCAGTGGGCGCCGGAGTTCGGCGAGCTGCCGCTGGCTCTCGGCCCGCAGAGGAAGAAGAAGAAGGACAGCCTGCCGTCGCTCCAGTTCACGCTCATGGGGCCCAAGCTCCGGGTCAACACGGCCAAGGTGGACTCCGGGGGGCGGCCGGTGACGGGCATCCGGCTGTTCCTGGAGGGCAAGAAGAACAGCCGGCTGGGCGTGCACCTGCAGCACCTGTCGGCGACGCCGCGCGCGGTCCCCATCGTCGTCGGCGAGGCGGTCACCACCGCCGCCGGGTACGCCGTGAACGAGCGCGCCTACTTCGAGCCCGTGAGGTCGTCGCTGCTGACGCACGCGTGCACGGCGCCGGTGCAGCACGCCGGCGCGCGCATCGACGACTGCGCGGCCGTGGTGACCGCGGCCTGGCTGGAGGTGCGCGAGGCGTGCCTCAAGAAGGTGCTGTTCCTACGTCTCGGCTTCTCCGGCGTGGCGCGGACCAAGATACGGCGGTCGGAGTGGGACGGCCCGCTGGCCACGACCCGCAAGTCGGGCTCGCTGTCGGCGATGCTCAGCGCGGCGCTGTCGGGCACCGCCGCCGCCGTGCCGCCGCAGGGGGAGCCGATGGAGGGGAAGGTGGAGGTGAACTCGGCCGTGTTCCCCAAGGGCCCGCCGGTGCCGCTGCCCGTGCAGAAGATGGCGAAGTACATCGACACGACGGAGGTGACGAGGGGCCCCGACGACCTGCCGGGGTACTGGGTGGTCACCGGCGCCAAGCTCTGCGTGGAAGGCGGCAAGGTGGCGCTCAAGGCCAAGTACTCGCTGCTCATCTCGGCGCCGGAGGACGACGAGGTTTGAATCAGCTGTGCATATCGTGTACAGACTACAGAGTGCGCACACACATCAAGAGGTGGTACAGACTGTAGATTAGAGAGTGCTTGTCAATTCTTGTAAATCAGGACCAGTTAGCTGTGAGATGTTGAAATTTGTCAAAAATAGAAAATAGAAACTACACATTTTAAGCATATTGCCTTGCTGAAGATGGAATGGCATGAAGCAGCATCCACCGATTTTGTATCACAAAACCCGACAGAACTGAAGCTCTGATATCATCATCATCCTCGTCACACAAGTTCAGGTAAGAACATACACAGTTGCATCTAATGTACATGCATAAAGCACAGAGGGTGCTCGGGTTCTCGGCCGAAGAGCTCGAAAGGCCACCTTAAAACCTCTCCATGGTACCGACCACCGGCTGTGCCTCCACACGCGGCCTCTTCTCGGAAAGATAGGGACCCCTTCTGACCGCCTCATTCAGCTGCACCAAGAGGCATTTGTTTCCTCGGTCAACAGTCGCGCTTCAAACGACGAGAACCAGCGGATACAAGAACCGGGGACATACCTTTCCAATGAGTTCAGAAAGGCTCGGTTCATGAAGAAGGTGCGACGATGACAAGGCCTTGTTGATTGCCACACAGCAAGCGTACCGTGCCTCCATGCCTATGATAGTATAACGAACCAATGTCATCATCAGAACAGTTGGTTCAGTAAACAGAATATTGCATAGTTCATGACTGGATTAGCAACAAAGAACAGCTCCACCGTATTGCCAAGAGCCAATGATGCTACGAGATCAGAAGGCAGTTAGACATTTGGATCGAGGGAAGTTAAGCGGGCACATTATGTGTAAGCATTATGTCACCGACAACGAACTCCAAATCAGTTATGATAGATGGTATTCAAATGCTAAAAGGAACATTGCAGCAGTGAAAACATCTTCTTTGAAGTGACAGATGTATGCTTTTATAAGGAATGACATGCCCATACTTACTGCATTTAGTGGTAGAAGTACTACTAAGTCCTTACCAAGTTTTGTTGTCTCCATTTTTGGATCCGTAACAATTCCGATTATCTCTGGCTTTGAGCAAACTTCCCTTAGGCACCATTCTCGGACAACCAGTCCTGACAGTACTCTATAACCCTGCAAACATTCAATGCGATGCAATCAGTATAATGAGTATAGTCAATGTGATCACTCAAACAAGACATAACTCAGCAACAGATGAAAAGAATATATCAGCAACAAGTAGACTTTAACAAGCAAGAATTGCTTACAGCAATCCGAACGTCTGGATCTTGTTGTAGAATTGATAGAAGAAGAGCCTGCCAAAAAGTTAAAAGAAAATCGCTATAAAGGCTAATTATAACATTAAGTGAGAAAGATAAAACTAGAGAAATTGTGTTGCTCTAACTGAAGGAGTTAATTTTGGACTGTTTGATGCGGCGCTGTAGACTAAGCGCTTCAGGCACTCTTCTGCTTGATGATCATCCAGTTTCATCTGGTCTTCTTGTCGATCAACACCACATATGCTTCCAAAGGCATGTAAAGCGGCCTGAAAGTTTCACAGCGTTCTTAAGAGGAATAGTTTCTGGAGACTTTTCCAATGACTAACAGGGTTAGTAGTAGACAAACTTACCAGCTGTTTACCCCTGCCCTGCCTATCAAAGGACATTTCTACCACATGTCTGGCAATATTTGGTGGATCAGAGAGCAACAAGCATGCTCCTTGAGTTGCTATTTCACCAACGGAGCCAGAGAAACAAAGAGTAAGTCAGATAGTGAAATGAAGTATTATGGTTAATGAGACCACTCCCAAACAGATGCAGGTTTCAGTACAACAGAAAGTTATAAGAAAGAAATCGAAACATAACTTACTTGTACCAATTAGTCCTAAGGTCTCCAATGCGCTCTCAATTTCATCAGTATTTTGACCTTCCTCCGTCCTCAATATTTTGTCTATGGCCAAGAGCAGATTTGTAACACCTAACATGGAGAAATCTTGATTAACATATCAATCTAGTACCCTTGTTTTTACAGAATCCCACCAAAGATACCCTCACGCTAACTATACCTAGATGCATATAAATGTTCTGTTTTAAGGTCCCAGCAACAACCCAACAAATGGGTTATCAGTATTTATCAGAATTTAGCATAAAAGTTGAGTTCCCAATCATTTTTTTAATGAAGAAGCTGTTCTTGAATTATTAATGTAGGAATACACTTCCATCTAGCAGAGAATGCTATGCAGAGAGAAAATGTAGAGGAGAACGTGCTAGAAATCAGAATTTAGCATAGAAGCTGTGTTCAAAATCATGTTTTTCTTTGGTTAAGGGGCTGTTTTTGAATTATTAATGTCGGAATACACTTCCATTTAGCAGAGAATGATACGCAGAGAGGAGAACGCACTAGAAATCAGAATAGCATAGAAGCTATGTTCAGAATCAAGTTTTTTCTAGTGAAGGGGCTGTTCTTGAATTATTAAAGTAGCAACACATTTCCCTTTAGCAGAGTACGATAGGAAGAACCGAAGTGTAGAGGAGAACACACTGTAGAACATATAATGATCAATAATGCACACAATTAAAAAGATCAACAATATAAGTGAAAATATTTAGCAGGGCCGATAGACTGAAGGTGTAGTAGCTGCAAGACAAATCATGCTTACAAGATTTTTCTATAGTCATAAAAGCATCAGCTGAAGAAAGAAGCCTCCCACTGATCAATGATGCCCTTGACCGTACAATAGAATCAGCTGAGGGATCGCTACACAAGGACCAAAGATAAACAACATAAATTGGCTGAAAAACACAAAAGGAAAAGCACAAATATGGACTTATGGAGGCAAGAGCTGAGTACTTTATCACATCAGTTATGTGTTGAAGCAAACTGGTCTTTAACAAGAACATATTGCTGTGAGGGTGCTCCGCAAGCTGCAAAACAAGTAAAGACATAATTAGCTAAAATGTAGAGTTTATCTCAGAAATTCTATGATCTTGCATTCTTAGATCTCTATGATCAACAATTACATAACAAAAACTTTGTGATCATTATGTATTTAATGCCATTTGATAAGTAATGAAATTCGTTTACATAGCATGAGATGAACAACAAATACTAGTGTGAGTTGAGGCAAATGAAGAGACAAAGAAAAAAGCGCAAAATATTTGGTTTCAAAGGTATAATATAATAAAAAGATCTCCCAACAAACATAGATGGCTGAGGCTGATTGTGGACTCAGGGTCAGTTTGGTTTGCATCCACACCATATATGCCTGGCCTGGATAGTGCCTGGAGTTGGCCTCGTAGTTGTTTGGTTTCTGCCTGGGAGAGAAAATACTTGCCTGGCCTGGTTATGTGATTAGCCTGGTGAAAATAAAAAAATAAAAGAAAATGCCCAGGCAGAGTGATTAGCCTGGTCCAGGCGTCCGGTTTCGTTCACCTGGACGGGTCGCAGCCTTGCCTGGCACTAATAAAGGACACAAGAGGTACAATCCACTGTTTAAAAAAGGTTTTCTAATCACAAAAGGACAAAGCAGCAGGCTCGGGTAGAAACCAAACACGTCCCTGTGTGGCTAGCCTGGGCAGGCAGAAGACTTCAACTTTCCAGGCCCATGCCAGGCACCAAAAAATTTCAGGCAGGGATCCCAGGGTGCAAACCAAACTGACCCTCAAAGTGGCACAAAGTTAGACCGCCTCCATTTGAAGAAATTGCACAATCTTCGAAAATCCCTCCTAACAAACATAGATTGAAGAGGCTTTTGATAGTGGACTTGAAGTGGCAAAGAATTACTGCCTTTACCTGTAGTAGCTGGTTTGTCAAGCTTGGCTTGTTTAGGGTTTCTTTCTATTTTCCTTCTCTTAATTATGTTTTGTTTAGGGTTTCTCTCTTATTTTCCTTCTCTTGATTATGTTCTGTTTTTGTCTTAATCAATATAATTATGCAGCAGAAATGGAGAATCCACCCCATTCTTACAGAAACCAGGCTAACAGATAAATGCATCCTTCTCTCAGGAAAAGATGGATGCAGGTGATAACAAGGGAAACCTGAGAAGGCAATCCAAGTAAGACATATAGTATTACCTCATAGAGGACCTCTAGTGCACTCAGGGTCTTGAGCATATCTTTTCTATCTTTTATCTCATCCTCAAATAAGCTGAGAAGGTTTGAGTCACGAATTGCAGTAGCAGTACAACTTGATGCAGCAAAGAGCTTAGCTATCAAAGATAGAATGCGAATCCGTGCCTGCAAAGAAGAGGAACATGAACAACACCTTGAGCAGGTTTAACAGAACCATACTCATAGCATCTAGTACAACATAAATAACAATTCCTCTGTATCACACTAGATAGTTATTTTGCATCTCAACGCGTGTAAGTAATCTGCCAGTATTAGCAAAACAGCTCTGTGATCAACTACTTTAGACATTACTAAATGTAGGCTTCTACTTGTAGCCTGCCATTGCCTAGGAGTTCATGCATCAATTGTTTCCCAAATTGACCTAATAACAGTGGCTTTTGGATACCATACCATTGAGGATGACTGGGCTGCCACTTTGTTGAGTTGCAATCCTTGACCATCTGGTGGAAATATGATATCCTGAAAGCAAAAGCAAAAACAAAAATATTAGCATCTGCTACCCATATTAAGAGGGGCTCAACATTTATGGAAAAAGAATATAATACTCACAGTCCCTGTAGGAATTTCTGCTAGACGCTTTATGGCATCCAAAACAATTGCTGAGATCTCTTCGTCTCTACAGAAAGAAAACATAATTAATAGTAAGTAAAATACAAGCATAATGCATGTCATGGGACATGACCTGTCAGATATAGTTTGTGATAATAAGGATACCCCTCAATCAAGCAGTTGATCAGAAGAGGGTACAGATTGTGCTGTACAAATGTGTCCACAGCAACAGCAATATCTCCAGCCTTGTCAAGAAGATGTACCACCTGGTATAGAACTTGAAAGTGAGGGTCTGGACTCTGGAGACATTGGCTGAGAAAGGGTTTGCAGAAGATATTCTTTGCAAGATGATGTTAAACCTAGTATGTGAATGGTTATTTTAGACAAATAAGAAGGATCATGCATGAAATGGGTTTGCAAGAGTTGGTACAGCACATCAGTGTTCTGTTTATACACAAATTTCACTCTGGTTGCTACCATATTAGAGAGAAGCCGGCAAAGGAGTTAAAAACCAACTTAAACTTATAACTTTTTTCTCAAACAGGCATTGAAATCTGTTTCATTTGTATTCAAGGAGAACACCACGAGGCACACAGTACATGGCCGAGACCAAAACCAACTACCTGCTGCTATACATATTTCAAAAAAAAAATACCTGCTGCTATACAAAAAGGCAAAAACAGAGCAAAAAAACAGACAAGTAAGCTAAATCAGGAGGCCAAGTGTGCTTAAAGAGTTAAACCTTGAAAGGTACACAGCTAACATTTCAACGTTGATTGGAATTGTGCTTTACACACTTACCATCTCAAGATAACAAATGCATGACATGAAATACTATTTCTGATTTCAAGAACCAAATGGTGCCAAATTTTCTAAATGCCCTAAATAATTACAGTAAACAAAGCAAGGAAACCACATCCACAGAAAGCATCTGCTAGAGAAATATAATCAGATACATACCGCTTTGCAGGCCAATTGTCTGATACTATTTGAGTTTGTGAGCAACCCAGCTTGGATAAATTCCTGAAAGAATCAATTGAAAATTCAACATTTAGATAATCAAACAAGCGCATAATAATACAGAAAAGAGCGTATGATACATCAACATGTTGATCATTTTGCAAGATACTTAATAGATCATAACTGCCCTGTTCAAGGCAAGAGGTTTAGGTGGCCATGTCTAAATAAATAAATAAGCCCCCGGAGAGGTAGAGACAGTAAGTTACACATACACCATAGCTCGGCAGAAGTGAAGCGCCATATCTGGACGAAAATACTTTGTCCAAGCACGCTGCAACAGTTTCAACCGTCTCAGGTACGTCTGCCTGGCTCTGCAATACACTAGAGGACCAAGAAGACGAATTAAAACGGCAATTCATCACAATGGTCCACATAAATGCCATTCAAAGCATACATTCTTCATGGCATCTGCAGAAAAGAAGAGATGCAACGGAACGACTAGAACAGGACAAGGCTGTAATGTGAGAGAGATGCAGCCTACAAACAAGCAAACATTGGTAGAGAAAATTACATGAACCTGAAACATTTAGAGGAGGGGGAACAAAACTCACCCTAGCAGCTTAGGCAGAGGGAACTGTTCCAGGAACTGCCTCACTGTGTCCTCACCATGCGTTCCTACAATGTAAAAGGCAGGGTGCGGTGATAGGTCAGCACCCAACAACAAATCAACTACCTGGTGTCTTTGTCGAAATGCCGAAGCTGAATTCACTACAATTTGGTGGGAGAAGGGATTAATCCCCAAGCCGAGGCTGAATTCACTACAATTTTGTGGAAGAAGGGACTAATCCCCAAGCCGAAGCTGAATTCACTACAATTTGGTGGGAGAAGTGATTAATCCCCAAGCCGAAGCTGAATTCACTACAATTTTGTGGGAGAAGGGACTAATCCCCTACGGTTACAACATCGGAGATGGGAAAATAAGCACACTCGCAGCTACGCTACCATTCCAACGAACGACAGTGTAATGTACTAACATATAAACCCAAGGCACTGAAGGAAGCAGTGAGGCTGTATCGGGACGCACGGTCCTCACTAAGACAGACGCAACCTAATCGTTGGACTTCAACCGTGGGGATCCCTCGAACCCTACCACTGAGATCGTACTTCCTCGCTCTCCCCGTCGCCAGAGGTAGGCAGGCAGGCGAGCAGAGGGGAGACCCCGCGCCTCGGCGAGGAGCGGCGCGGCGGAAATGACCCGAGCAGCCGGGGTCGATGCGGCGGGGAGAAGGTGCGATGGAAGGGGGAGGAAGGGGCGAACCTGGGTAGGAGGCGAAGTCGGCCGCCGCGCGGAGCAGGGCGTCCAGCTCGCCGGCATCCATCTCCGCCGCGGGATCCATCTGGTGGCGGTGGTGCTGCTGCTGCTTCTCGCCGCCCGCGGGCTCGCTCTGGGTTTTGGTTGGGGGATTTGGCTTGGCAACGAAGTTGAACGCCGCCGTACCAGCGCTGGACTGGAGAAGAGAAGTGATGTGTGCCGTGCCCGGGGTGCCTGCCCCGTGCGCGTGCCGCGTGCCCCGCCTTGTTGCGGGGCAGATGGGGCCCCGGCGCTGCCGACCTCGCTGAGACGGGTCTATCCGCAAACCGTGCGTGATCCCCGCCGTGCTCGTGCCCCGGCGGCGTGAGACTCAAGAGGCCTCCTTTCTCTGTTTGTGCTACACCAAAGAACAACTTCAACGCGCCCACCTAAACAGTCTGTGCGCGTGTCCATTTGACTCGAAACGGACGCAAAAATTGGTACAACGGACCCACACAAACGGGCCAACGTCTGTTTTTTGTTGGGGCGACCCAGCCAAAATTTGGGCCGCATTTGCTTCGGCGTGGACACAATTTCATTTGTTGGTGACGAGTACTTTTTTCACAATTTCATTTGTGAACCGGATGATTCTTCAGGAGATTGTGGTTGATACTTTGGTCACCTATGACCACGTTAGTAGGCAGAGGCCGATATTCAAGGTCTCGGTCCCAGGGCATACTGTTGAATCGCAACAAAGAGAGCAGCCACTGCCTACTCTGGCAGGACTACTTTGAGTCCCCTAACTCGCTCTTCAAACGCCACCTATTCCAGCGCCGAATTCGGATGGCTAGATATGTGTTCAACCGTATCCGGTAGGAGGCGATGGCGTACGAGAACTATTGCGAGTGCAAGGAGGATGTCCTGGGAAAAATTGGCTTCTCTTATCAGAAATGCACTGCAGCTATTCAGATGCTTTCATATGGTGTACCCGGTGATCTTATTGATGAGTATGTCCAAATGAGCAAGTCCACGTGTCTAGACTCCATGTACAAGTTCTGCAAGGATGTGGTAGCAGTGTTTGGCCTGGAAATACTTGAAGGGGCCAACTGTTGCAGATACAACCGATTGTTGGAGATCAATGCGAGTAGGGCCTTTTCCGGGGATGCTTGGTAGTATAGATTGTATGCATTGGGAGTGGAAGAACTACCCTTCTGCTTGGTAGGGGCAGTATATGGGCCATATCAAAGCTTGCACTATCATACTTGAGGCCGTGACTTCACAAGATATCTGGACTTGTCACTCTTTGTTTGGCATGGCCGGATCTCACAACGACATCAACGTGCTTCAATGCTCTCCGGTGTTTGCAAGGCTTACAGAAGGCAATTGCCCAGATGTCAATGTTGAGATCAGTTGCCACCACTACAACAAAGGATACTACCTAGTTGGTGGTATCTATTCTCAATGGACTACTGTTGTGAAGACAATCCCCAAGCCCAAGCACAAGAAAATGCCAGCAAGAATGTGGAGCGTGCCTTTGGTGTTCTTCAATGTCGACAGTCCTGCTAAAACATGGAGCACCAAGAAGTTGTGAGAGGTGATGATTGCTTGTGTGATCATGCACAACATAATTGTAGAGAACGAGCGTCCGGATTAAATCTATGGCCAAGGGTTTCAATTTTAGGGTGGACAATGTTGTGCCTGAACATTGAGGAGCGGCAACGTTTGCACAGTTCACCGAATTTCATCATCAAATGTGTGATTGAAAAACTCACATTCAACTGCAAGATGATTTGATTGAGCATATGTGGACTCTCGTTGGCAACCAGTAGATGTATCGGCTATTTTTCTTTCAAATGTATTTGAGACAATTTAAATTTTATTTGGCTTGTAAACTATGATATGTTTATTTGGTTGTGAAACTATGAGAATTTGTATTTTCTTTGAATTACGTGAACTTGATATGTTGCAAAAAGTGCTCACAAATGGCCGCAAGAACCAAAATGCGCTCGCGTGTTGGATGCACAACCGACCCAACCGCAGAAGGGGGCGGACACGTCGACCCAAACGGACAAAACACACATCCATTTGGGTTAATGCGTTGGAGTTGTCTTTCAGAGATGTTCATATAGGTAGGGTGTGCGTGTGTGTATTCATAAGGGTGAGTGTATGCGCATGCATATGAGCGCTTGCGTCTATAATGTGTTAAAAAAACCTGGCCATGGGTGGCAAGGCCCGACGCTCGGGGCAGGTTTGGCCTCACTTTGTTTCTCAAAAACTTATTTTTAATTTTAGTTAATCTATTCTATACTTGTTTTGACAAACTATCTATTTTATATCTATCTATAATCTATAATCTATAACTACTAATAAAGTACATAACGCTTCTGCCCATCTGCTGCACCGTTTTGCAAAAAAAAAAAACCTCTACTCTTTCTTGAAATCAACTCGCAGTTCCGGTTTAGGTGATTCCAGATAAAACGTTTACTATTTGCGCAAAAACTCCGATCCTATAGTTTCCTCAAACCAACCTGCGGTCCAGGTTTAAGTGACTTCGGAAAAACTTTTTGTTGTTTGCGGAAAACACCCTGACATTTGGTTTAATTAACTTGCAGTTCATATCATATGTTTTTAAAAATAGTTATATCTTTTAAAGCGTAACTTCAATTTTAACATATTATATATGAAATTTAATTAAAAATATGTAGAATCTGAATATGATATTATTTTACTTGTTAACTATTTTTAAAATGTTATTTAGAGTGCAACCTTAATCAATAGTGCATGATCCACCTCTCTTTCGTATCAATGTAGATCCGAAAAAATGAATACCTCGGTAAAATTAGATTGGAGACGAAAGAAATTATCTATAACAATGCATGGACACGTCGGCAAAACCTCACACGGAAAAAAAGAAAGCATATTTCTCATCTTATGCAAAAAGAGAGAAAAGCCCTCTAGTAGAAAAACCCTCATTCGTCCTGGTTCGTGAGGGCTATTGGTCCCGGTTCCCGAACCGGGACTAAAGGGTCGTCACTAAAGTCCCGACTCTTTAGTCCCGGATCGCCCAGGAACCTGGACAGATGGGGACTCCACGTGGCCGCTGCCGCTTGCCCAGGTAGGGGGGCTTTTGCCCCGGTTGGTGCCACCAACCGGAACCAAAAGGCTTCCACGCGTCAACATTTCAGGCTTGGCTTTTTATTTTATTTTCTAAAGGGGGTGGGGTGGGGGGTTTTGTATGGTTAATTTACGGGGTTTCATATATTGTATTAGCTAGCTAATAGAGAGAAGTGTCCTTTCTTATCTCCGTGCTTGGTCGACGCTACGTATAGAGAGGACTCAACATGCTAGCTAGCTAGTAAGCAAATGAAGGAAACTATTAAGTATACAAAAGATCGTCATGAACATATACAGAAGTGATCGACCTCCCCTTCTCCGAGAGATTGGTCGAACAACAAGTTTTCATATATCTTACCGACGCTACTGGCTACATATATATAATGTGTAAGATCTCTTACAATACCCATATGAACTCAACTTCCACATGCATGGTGGTATTCTCCGGCTTCATTAATGACATGGTCAAAAAAGAATCCAGCCAATTCCTCTTGAATTGCTCACATGCAATCTTCTGGTAGGAGTTCATTCCGCATCTCCCACATCTAATTTGCATAAGGGGTCAATACATATATATGAATGAAACTCAACAGAAATGATGGTAATAAAATAAACTTGTGAATATTTTTGCTTACGCACTTCATATTGTCTTTTTGAGTAGCCCCGCCTATTCTTGACCGTCGCGTTGTAGATGAACTCGAAGACGTAATATCCACAGTAATCATTCCTGGCTTCCTGCCACAAGCACTTTACGAGAAATAGAGGTCAATCAAACTGATAATGAAGCATTATAAATGGCATTGATGATAGTAGTTAGAATCAACGGGAGATGCGCGGAACTAGCTAGCTAGTAGTACTTACTTTCGGGTATTTCCGTAGCAGATCCCGCGGCAATGAAGTAACTTGTGCGGTGAATACTTTCCAAACCCTGCGAGACAAAAAAACAATTACTTGATATCGTGAAATGAACAAAGTTGCTGATATGGTGCAATAATGATCGAATCAACTTACTTCTCGAGCATCTTAGACATGGTCGCATACTCCTTGAGATCTTTTCGTCTCGAGTTTAAGACGTTTACTAGTCCTTGCTCAAGCTTAATATCTAGGAGAATATAGTGAAAGCTGTGCATGCATGCATAACTCATCAATTACATTAATTACTATAACAGTAATAATTTAGGGAAACCGAATATGCACAAGATAGTAACACTCACTTGAAGTTGTAAGGAAAGACTATTGTATCTTTGTTTTGTTTTATTACCAAAGATCGTAGCAAGTTGTCCTCGGTTTCTTTGGCCTTACACTACTAGAAATACCACTACTAATGGCGCACCTAATATGACCATTAATGGCGCATCACTGGTGCGCCATTGATAGCACGCCATTAGTAATTTTTACTAATGGCGCACCACCTGGTGCGCCATTAGTATCTGGTATACTAATGGCGCACCACCTGGTGCGCCATTAGTATATGCGAGGGTGCGCCATTAGTATGCCTCCCAGGGGGCATGTATACCCAGGTGCTTTGGCATACTAATGGCGCACCACCTCTGGATGCGTCATTAGTAACCGCAGCATACTAATGGCGCACTACCCGGTGATGCGCCATTAGTATGCACTGTCATACTAATGGCGCACTGTCATGTGATGCGCCATTAGTATGAATATTAGGTTTTTTTTATTTTTTTATTTTCTGTTTTTTGCACAGGTTACAAAATGTATAATTTGACAAAATATAGACAGCACACATCAACAATAGATTCATCAAATACAATAGAAGATTAGTCTTTGAATACAATTCATCATATTAGTCTCCGAATACAATTCATCATATTAGTCTCCGAATTGAAAAGACCGAACAAAGATAGAACATTATATTACAAGTCTCGAGACCGCGAGTAGCGAGTTTATCTTCGCATTACAAGTCGATATCGATCATCTAAACTACCATCACATAGAAGAGAGCTGCGGTCATCACGATGAAACTCGTCT